TCTGTCTATCTATCTATCTATCTATCTATCTATCTATCTATCTATCTATTTATTTATTTATTTATTTATTTATTTATTTATTTATTTATTTATTTAAGTTATATCCCACCTGTCTGGTCAATAGGACCACTCTGTTAAGAACAGACAATTGGCACAAATATCTTGGCAGTTAACTGACACTTGTCAGGTGTTATCAAATGTGTGTCCGCTCAGCAGCTTTATTGCTTCTAAAGCAGTAAAAGGATGAGGAAGTGTTTGTTCTGTCTTAGCATACTTACCTGGCAGTAGGTGTCTTTGAACTCAGTGAGGCTTGCTTCTCAGTTAGATATGTACAGGATGTCATCATAACAATTGCCACTCTTAGCCAGCATTCACTTTTAGACTGAACAAAATCACTCCTCAGTTAAGTATACCTATATTTTAACTTAAATATTCTTGGACTGCATTAACTGCAGTGATATGGAGGAAAAGGAAAAGAACCATATAGAGGATTTGACTGTACGTATCTGATTTACAATTATTAGTGAGAAACTGTAAAATGTAATGCACAAAAGGAGATAGGGAAAATGAAATGTGGATATCATGGTGATTATGTGAGGGAAAGGGAACTATGATGTTTCCTAAGACTCTGTGTTTCAAACGCTTAGGCCAAAATCTTGTTGTTGTCTGCCATTCATACAAAGTAGTTCCTTCCTCCCCCTCCCACCATGACCCCATGCCACACAATTCCCTGCACTGTGTGTGTCCTCGAAAGGAAAAGAACCATATAGAGGATTTGACTGTACGTATCTGATTTACAATTATTAGTGAGAAACTGTAAAATGTAATGCACAAAAGGAGATAGGGAAAATGAAATGTGGATATCATGGTGATTATGTGAGGGAAAGGGAACTATGATGTTTCCTAAGACTCTGTGTTTCAAACGCTTAGGCCAAAATCTTGTTGTTGTCTGCCATTCATACAAAGTAGTTCCTTCCTCCCCCTCCCACCATTTCCCTGCACTGTGTGTGTCCTCAGCGCAACCTCCAATGGTTGCGTGAAGGACAGTCTGCCAGAGGGGGCGCAGCACTTGTACGATTGCCCTTCCGCTCCATGTTTTGCCAACAGGATTCTATACCCTGTCATACTCATTCAAATGGAGCTAGTGAAATGCACTGCCAAAAAGGAAACAGGTATGTGCATGTCAGGCCCTTGAGATCTTCTGTATAATGTTTACTACAGAAAGCTATGTTCTCCTTGGAAAGAACACCCATTTTAAATATTTCGAATCTTCATGGGAGCAGGGTGTAGCCTGCATAATTAAATTGTAAGCCACCCAGAGAGTGCTTGTAGCGCTATGGGGCGGTATATAAGTCCAATAAATAAATAAATAAAATAAATAAACACCCATTTTAAATATTTCAAATCTTCATGGGAGCAGATACAAACAAAATCTATCCTCTCTACTCCTGTTTTTGAGCCACCATAGGAATAGAAGAACTCTTATGCTGAAGGACAGCTTAGAGAGCTGGTGTTTATTGTTATTCCGAAAGATAACAACAGCTCAGTGTCCTTGCTGCCCATGTTTGAAAGATGGACCTAGAGAAAGCATTGTTTTGGAAACAAGCATGTTCCAGAAGAAGTCACAAAGACTAATGGGGCCTCCCCTCTCCTTATCGCCCAACTTTTCTTGTATGGAACTCACTGTGATCTGTGCCGCTGTGACTGTTGCATCACTCCCGTTTATTTGTAACCTTTGGCATCAGCAGTGACTAATCTTATCTTGTAGCTGTTGGCTCCCACACAGAGATGTGCAGCACTGTGAGTAGCCTTGGCCATCCTCAAATATTGGGACAGACTAGTTTTACTAGAGGCTGGTAGATTATTTACAGAATGGATTTGTAACCACCTTGCAAAGAACACAGTGAACTCTTGTTGTACTCACCAATCACAATGAGGGTATAGTTCACATTCATGCTGCCAAAACCGTTGGTGGCCTTGCAGATATATGTTCCTGCATCTTCATTTTCCACTTCCTTGATTTTCAAACCTTGCTGGAGGACTCGGAACCTTGTCCACCCACTATGGATGGTTCGACCGTCCTTCATCCACATAGTAAGTGGTGGTGGATCACCCTCCACTGGGCAAAGGAGCTTAATAGTTCTTCCTAATCGCACAGATTGCCGATGGATCACCTTATCAGCAATTCTGGGTGGGCCTAGGAAAGGCAAGAAAGAAATCCAAAAGTCACTTGTTTAGCTTTCTTAGCTGAGCACTTAAGATACAGCCAATCAGAAAATCACTTCACTATGGATTGGATAGAAAGGATTAGATCAGCTCCTTCCCCTGGCACGCAACATGGAAACTCTGAATGAGTCAGGCTAGAAGCCTAGCCTTTCTTAGGTCAAGTAAAACAATATCTTCTTCTACAAGGTACATGTTTCAGTTGCATGTAGGCTGGGATTTGCCTGTGGCTGTCCAGGGTTCCAGACTAGTCCGGCCACTCCTTTTTTTTTTCATTACTGCTTCATTACTGAACAAGAGACCATAGAGGCATTTTGATTCACTTGTAGCGTTGGAACCCATATGAACTAACTAAATGAGCAAAAATGTAAATAGAAATTCAATGGATTTCTTTTTTTTCTACCTTCCACTTACACATCCCGGGGAACAGATCCCTTCATGTCCCCCCAACTACCGGTTGTTTCAAAAATAATAAAACATGAAACCAAAAATCAGTAACAGCATTAGCAGCTTTTTAAAGAAAAATCCTTTAAAGTTTGCATGTATAGCAATTTCCTTTAATAGTGACCAGATGAGGACTGTTCAGCAAACAAAGGAAATCTTGTGAAAGTATACTAGAATGTCTCTAGGTCAAAAAGAATTTGCTGGAACGAACATTCATTCCACTGAAAAGAATTCTGAATTCTAAAAATATTTACCTCTTGAACACCTACAAATATTACCTTTAGTGTAGTATTTCTTATCTTTCTCATACCGAATTATTTGACTGCACTTAATAAAACCCCAGCCCCCATGATATTGTACCTAATAAAATTGCCTAGGTACGGCTGAAAATTTGAATGACATCTCTGCCATCCACGTGTGAAAATTCAGCTCATCCTCCTAGCTTTTTTTTAACTTGCTAGTTTTTTTTATCAGACAGAGTGTTCTGATGTATGAGAGCAATCAAAGAAATTATTTCCCCAGCCTCTACAGTGAAGTGATATGGTAATTAGCACACAGTTCATGAATAATCCTTTGTGTTAACATCTTGGTTGCCACTGTGAATTCACAGGAACATAATACGCAAAGCATTAATGAAATTTTCATTTGCTCAAACAGTTCAGCTCAAATATACGTAGACGAATGTACTGATTTGTTTCCCTTGCTCATAACTACAAGCAACTGGAATCGCCATTCTGTTGGGTTATTTAAAAAGGAAAGAGGTTGTACACCTGTTTCACTGAACAGCTGAGCCATCCTCAGCTTAGATCCTGGTGCAGTAGCTCTGTTTTTACCAGATACCAGGAGGAAAAGTTCTGCTTGTTATCCTGCTGAAGTTTTTTAAATATACAGCCATTTTTTCTTCTTCTTTTGCTCTCCTCACCCTGTTACGGTCTATTGAGAAAGCTCACTTATTTTGATGGAATAAATTAAAAATGCATTTTAAAGTGCCAGGAACATCCAGGCAGAAAAGCTTTGGAGGAAAAAAATTGTAAAAGTATTCCGTCTACACTGGAGCAAAAAGTTACACTATAAATCACCAAAAGGAAAATTTACTTGATTCTCTGTCACTCTAATTAGCTTTCCCACTTATATTTCTTACATTTACTCTAAATAAAATGCATACAAAATTGGCTAAAACCATTTTAACATTATTATTAATGAGTAAATAAAGCTTATCATAGTATCTCAAGCTTATTTTGAAGGCCAGTGACAGATTTAAAAGGGAATATTTATTTAAGATGTGTTCTATAAATAATTATATAGTTTCAGAGTAAAATTTTAATAATGAATTTACAATTTCAAAAAATATTGCATGAAATATTATTTTGCTTATTTGACTGAAAAAAACATTCTTTTCTCATAATACGAGTAGAGAAGCTTTAGTACGCTAGCTAGAATCTAAGTATGCAGACAATATATTTAAATCACATCCAGGATTACTGTATTCCATGCTCAGGTACTGGCTCATCTAGAGACTTTCATGCACAAAGGTTTAATAAGGTAGCCTTTTTTCTACATATGCATATATATTGTACAAGCAAATCTTAGGAAGGAGGTTAAGCAGCATGCGCCATATGGGAGGACTGCTGAGCAGAGCCTCACTCCCTGCTGATGTGACCTGTTTATGCTGATGTATTATATGTGAGTAGGACTAAAATCTGATTTCTTTCTGAATGAGGACACCTAGTAGCAATGTCTATGCATACTTTGGATTTCATTTATTTTTATTGTATGTTGCCCAGAACACTATATACAATTGGGTCATTAATCAATTGCATCAGCAAATAGTGATGTATCATTATAAACTGTATCAATCAATAAGTAGGTGTAGAGCTAAACCCTGGGGTCAGGTGGGAGAAACAAGAGCTTTCCAATTTCTTTCTGGTGAGCTAAGAAATGTCTGGCAAGGAAGTTATAGGCGGGAGCTCCCATGGATGTTTTTAAAGGCAATCTCTGATTGATTTTGTTGTACGGTCTACTTCCTAAGGGCCTGAGAGAGGAACATGGCCTCTCTTATGACAGGGAACAAGAGATAAAATCTGGAGAAGTCATTCAGCTCAGTGGTAAAGGTCTATGAAAACAGTGTGGCTTCCAAATTAATGCAGGAATATAAACTTTCTTCTAACTCTTTTTTTCATGCAGACCTTATTTGAGAACAGGCTGTTGAAGGCTGAGCTACAGATTAATTTTTAAAAAACTCAAAAAAACTTCTTAGGAGCTTTCTCCTAGATTCCTAGTCTAGATTCACACTATTTAATTATATATTCTCTGAACTGTACTATAGGGTTCATACAGCCATTCAGTACATCAGTATATAAACATCAGATTTATGATTCTAAGAGGAAAGTCTTCAGATATATGATGCTTTGACAGTGACTCAAACTGGGTGATATAATTTAGTGGCATCATTGCATGTGAAGGTTAAGTACTTTCCCACTCCACATATTCCAGAAGGCACACAGGCCTCCTTTTACTACTCAATCTGGGCAGGCAGGAGGACACCATGCCAACAATTGTTTCATTGCTGCCTTGTTATTTTTCCGCAAAGGAGCTATTATCTAGCAGGAGGTTCACACAGGGCCTTCACACAATTGTTGAACCATGTCCTGGGAGACCATTTGGCCATGATGGAGTTCAAAGTGATCTTTATTAGCACATTAAACATAATTGCAAAGGAGTAAATTCCAAGGAAGGTCAACCAGCCTCAATAGTTGTTTAAAACAGAAAAACAATATATTTTGCATTATTACGTTTATAAAGTAGTTAATTTAACTTTTAGTAGACTCTTGAGTAACTGGCTTTATTTTTTTAATACCAGACCTGTTAACTTTCTGTGAAGATAAGATTTATTTTGAATTAACACTGACAAACCAGCCACTCAGCTTCATTCATTAGCAGAATATACACAGCCGATACTTCCACAGTGCATGCAACAAAGAAAGAAGAAGAGGGGCCAGCCAATAAATGGCAAATTCAAAGATGAGGGCAATGAGCAGGAAAGTAAGAAACTTTTGCTACAATCAAAATACTTTACAATGGCTGCAAAGCAAAAGCGAAGTTGACACAGCACTGATTCTGAAATGAAAATTTCAGATCTGTAATCTATATTTCAGTCCATAGCCGAATGGGCAAAAAGAGGATGGGCAATTGCTTATCTTGAGGAATGATGATTCATCTCCACTGGAGGATAGTAAGTCTGTATCCTCAGGGACCATGCCATCTTCCAGACAGCAAGCTATTAGACATATTAAACTTGGTTTAACACAGTTTCGCACAGTCAAACATGGACTGGCTCTGAAACATACATCATGGTGAAATGTATACAATCCTTCTTTCTCAGTATGTACTTGAAGGTCCTTCTTCCCTCTGTTTTGAGAAATCTGTGGTACACAGAATGATAGGCACCGCTCTACATTACCTGCTGCCTGATCCTTTTCAGTAAATATATCAATGACTGAAGCTGGGATCTCGTGCATGTGATATCTTGGGTGTTATTTTTGGTGAAAAGGCAGGATGTAAATTTAATAAATACATAAATAAAAACATATTAATAAATACATAAATAAAACATGTGCCGTCATATTTTCAATATAAATTGGGAAGGGTTGTAAGGGTTGGATAAAAATCTTTCAGGGAGTGGGATTATTTATGAGGCAACACAAACTACCGGAGGAAAATTACTGTATTTATTTAAAGTTATTTTAGACCACCTTTAAGGGTAGAACTCCTGTGAACTGAATGCCTTGCAGTGTGCAGGAGAAAGCAAGCAGTTTCTACCATGTTCCCCACAGAAAATGCACAATATATAGAAAACTAGAAATTATGGTATTAGAAGAATGCTGTGGAACTTCATCATAAAACCTTCTACTTCTGCAGAACCCCTTCAGCTTCAGTTCCTATGTCTAGAAACCAAGAATGTGAGGTACTTTGTCTACAGCTGGATCATTCAAAAGAATAGATTCCCTTGGTATTTGCCATGGCATTCTGGCATGGTTTGGGAGTAGCTCAGTAGCGGACAAAAAGCTCTACAGAGAACCATTATAATTGCCCAAAATATCATCGGGCTCCAGCTATCAACCCTGCATGACATTTTCACATCCCGCTGTCTGAGGAAGTCACACAACATTCTGAAAGACTCTTCCCATCCTGTTTACACCTTTTTGAACTGTTGCCGTCTGGCAGAAGATATAGAACAAATAAGACTCGGACCACACATTTTCTGAACAATTTTTATCTCAGAGCTATAATTGCACTTACTTACTTACTTACTTACTTACTTACTTACTTACTTACTTACTTACTTACTTACTTACTTACTTACTTACTTACTTACTTACTTACTTACTTACTTACTTACTTACTTATTTATTTATTTATTTTATTTTATTTATATCCCGCCTATCTAGTCACTTAAGACCACTCTAGGCGGCTTACAACAAGCGTGATGCAATATAATTAAAACAATTTTAAAAAGGGGACAAACTTTGA